GGTTACGGTAACCCTGGAGTTTTCTTTTGTTTTTATCTCGGGATCTAATACATCAATTTTAACTTCTTCTTTTTTTAATCAATACAACATACAGTAAGGAAAAAGAATATATAGATAAGAATATCATAAAACTTCCAAAAACCAAGATATTTTGAAAAAAAGGAAGAAAGAAATTTCAAAATTAAAAAAAATCGTTGTTTTTTAAAGTAATTATTTTCCAAAAAAATAATACAAGGTTTTAATTTACAGAAATCGAAACATATTAAGTTGTATGTTAAGAAAAAAAATAAATTATTACGAATTATGCTAAAAAATATATTTATTCGACGAGGTTGAATTTGGGTGACTTTCAAGTAATACGATAATAAAGTTAGTAGAAATTTTTATTATATGACATCTAAATATACAAATGAAATTATTCATTGATTTGCGTGAAACAGGCGAAACAAATTTTTGCAACATGTTCCCTACACATTGACTGTTGGCACTGCAAGCATATGTAATAAGTTTTCCTATCTAAAGCCCTTGGACAGAATGAACATCTTTGTTTTTCTATTTTGTTTACAGCTAATATATCGCGCGGATCTTGATTTTTCTGAAATGTCTGTGTGTTTCATGAATTCTTCGATTTGAATTCGCAATCTTGTTCGTATATTTACTTACAATTTTTAAATAAAAAGCGTAATAACCACTCAGGGTTAGCGTAATCCACACAGTATGTTTATGGCGTTCTATCTCGACTGGTTCGTTCACTGAGGTTGCCAGGCGGGGGATTTGTAGTAGGGATGCGAAAGTTTCCCCCCCCCCCCCCCTTGTTTCCACTCCCCACTTCTGATCGTTCATAAACGCCACGCGTTTTTTCAAACGGACTGGATTACCGTAACCCACGGTGGTGTTCAAGGGTTAAGATAATGATATTCTCTATACATATGGAAATTTACTTATACAGATAGTCAATGCTAAGTAACCAATTTCAAGTACTTAGTCACGTTTACAATGTATATTGACAAATATAATCTGCTTGCATGATTATTTCATCTTGACTACTGTTGAAAGTCATCTCCAATTATTGTGTTCATTTATTTATTTAATAAACATGATGTAGAAAGGAACAAAATATTAATATATTTTTTTATACATTCTTATTTATACTATACTATAATTTTATAGAGATAATGGAAGTAAATACCATAGTTACGTTATTCTTTACGAATTGGGACAAAAAAATTACACACGCACGCGCGCGATACATTTCAAACAACATATTTTTTATTATATTATTAACTGTAGCGGATATATTGAAATCGAATTACAAGAAATAATTTATTATAAAGCCTTAGTACACTAAAAAAAATAATGTTGTTTTAACAGTATTATTTTAATCGAAAATGATCTTGTTGATTTACAACGTATCAATGAAATAAATAAAATTTTATTGAGACAAGAGCACAAGTATTCGTTTTATTAATGGTATTATTGAATTAACATAATTATTTTTAATTAAGATAGTTCTCTTGATACATCATTTTTTTGTCAATGTCGAATTCAGTATCGTCTTGTCATCTATTATCAACTTGGAAAAATTAGCAATTCATTATCTTAGCCACAATCTTTTCCTCACAAAAATTTACACCGAAATATTTATTAAAATTTTAAATTACTAAAAATCCGCCTTAACCATTCAAGGCTTTCGTCTCCTAATTGTAAAATGTAATTGTTTCAGATTCCCCATGAACTGAAAAATGTGACATACTACATAAGTGAGAATCAACTTTCAAGTATTCAACATAAGATACAAACACGATTGTCCGAAATTAACAGACATATAGAACATTTTCGGTTTTTAAATGTTCCTTAAGTTGATTTGATTTTCTATACATTTGTCTGTGATTCGAATCAGTTGAAAATAGCGTAAAGTTCTACTGTAACTAAATGTTTTAGGTTTAACTTTGAATATTCCATTATATAAATTTTGCTATTTTTTACTTTTTATTCTGATGTTATACAGCGTTCATTACATCTTTACTTATATCTATATTTTCAGGCTTTAGTTTTGCTTCATTTAATTAAGTATTATTAATCATTCTATATTGTTAATATTATTAACATTCTTATATTATATGCACTTATTGTTGGTATTTCATATAATATTATTGTTTCATTATAGCTTAAAATAAATAAAAATGTGTAAATTAGTTAACAATTGAAACATTACAAAAATAGGGCCAAAAATATGCATGCATATACGGGATGGGGTCGCGCCACTTTGCATAAAATAAAATTCCTTGACTCATACTCTTTTCTTTGTATTCGGAAAAAACTTAATAAAAATCTTCATGAAGCGATTCTTTTTATTTAATTTCATTTAGATTCCGAAGGACATTTTAAAACGTATACCATTATTTCATGCGCACAAGCATATTAATGCCCACTTTTTTAATGTTTTAATTGTAAAATAATTACATATATTTTTCGTATATGCGATAATAAAATTGAAAAGTTTTCTCTACAAAATGGCGTTTGATTCATTTCATTCCTTCCTACTTGTTGCGAAACTATAACCATTTAGTTTCAACTCATTCTCACTGATCACTCTGTAGAGAAATATAACATACATTCTTTTAAAACAGAGCACCAGGAACCATGATAACAACAGATTAAAATAGAAATTACAAGAAAATGCAATGTACGAATCAGACGCCGCAGAGATGATGTTGCGATGTCTTTACGATGTCCGATTCGTAGCCATCCCGTAAACTTAAAAATTGCATCTTCGTAGCAACGGAAGAAGCAATTAATCGATATTGGAAAAATTAACATAAATACTCAAAACCGAAAGACCCCTGATTTATTGTACATATATACTAAAATCAATTAAATTATTATTTAGTAGAAATATGTGTACATATAGATATTATAAAAGAAAAGAGACGAAAAGTTTAGTTGGGAAAAATTCATTTACGATGTATTACTGTAATATATATTTCCTATTTTAGCAATAATTGTTTTACGGATTTTCCAAAGTGCTATTACCGATAAAGTGTTTCGAAATAATATCCATATATATGTATGTAGACAGTGAATAAAGATAATACAAGTTAATAAAAAATTTTTTTTTCAATTTTCTTGGACCGGACTATGTGTCTCTTATACATTTTTAAATGCTGAAAACAATGCCGCAAACGAAAAATTCTAACACGTCAGATTTCCAAGATAATTGAGATTTAATACTTAAAAAATAGCTTAATTTGCGATATTTAACATTTTTGAATAAATAAGGTTAACGTTATCTTGAAATTTCGATCAGGAGTTATAAATGTATTGTTCATCCTCTATAAAATGCATTTCAATACTTTACTTTTTAGCCATGTTATAAACGATTAAAGCTAAAAAGTAAGGTATTGAAATAAAAAAAAATGCATTTTATAGGGGATGAACAATACATTCATGACTTCTGATCGAAATTTCAAGATAACGGTAACCTTCTTTATTAAAAAATGTCAAATATCGCAAAAAAGCTATTTTTTAAGTATTAAACCTCAAAAATCTTGGAAATCCGACATGCTAAAGTTTTTTCGCTTGCGGCATTATTTTCAGCATCCAAAAATCTATGAAAGACATGTAGTCCGGTTCAAAGTAATTTTTTGCTGTAAACTAGTGTAATTTAAAAATTAATTATATCATGTACTGTGTGTGTGTGTGTGTGTGTGTGTTTGTGATAAGTATACAAACTATTATATAGACTCTCAAAATTAAAAAAAATTTTCATAATATTTGCAATATTTCAGAATACTTTCGTTTTACTTTCATACATTTTTATTGAATCTTATTTGTTCATGTCTTTTTCATTTTTAATCCGTTGATATATATTCTTAACCCTTGAACCACACACTAAGTCTTTCGTGTCTATGTATTAAAAATAATCATTTTTGTACTTTGACAAAATCAAAAATTGCTTTTTCCTTCAAAAATCAAAGTCACAATTTTTATATCAAAACTGAATTATTTTCTTCTTCTGGTGCAGAAAGTAATTTCCATAATTTTTCTAAACATTTTTTCCAATGTTTGCGTAGCAGGATAATTTAGTAGAGACCTTAAAGAATATGTGTAAATTTTTACACATTTACAGAATTTTTCGAGCATCTTAAGAATCTTAAAATCGAGTCGGATACGAATGATCCATATGTGTCGTCCAAACGTATCGGAAATAAGTGTGTGGTTCGAGGATTAATTTTACTTTCAAAAAATAAACGGATGTCTCTTTAACTTAGATCAATCTAGACGACTTTCATCTATAATATGTGTGTAATATAAAACTATGTTATAGTTTTTTATGTGTATGTACAAGTTAAGTTTTTACTCCACATTTTTGTATTTTATCCATTATGCCGATCACTAGTACTAATAGTAATTTTTTCAATGTAGGATGTTCAGTTCAAGAACTTCTTATAATTTCTGGTCCATGAAGGAAGAAATACATGAAGGATATGACTGTAATACATTATCGAACGAGTTCTCAACTTGGTTACAATACGAACATTATCCTGTTGTACGTTGGGAACGAGACATACACTTTCAGAAGAAATATTGTCGCAAAGTTACAATACAACGAGTCTCTCTGAGGTTTCTCTCTGGTACAGAATATAATACAGAATAAAACCAAACGTAACATGGAACAAAACCAAAGACTGCAGATGTGTTACCCGACGAAAATATCATGGACATAGTTCAGTGTGTACATAGAGGCGCTTGTAACGATGGTTCCATTTAAAACGCGGACATATCCACTCTCAGGGACTGCGCACAATCGAAGGAATAAGGAACAGGGAACAGAGAATAAGAATTTCAACCTATCAGAAACTGTGTATTTCATAGAACATGATTTCTGATAGGTTGAAATTCTTATTCTCTGTGTTCTCTGTTCCCCACTACATTGATTGTACGTAGTCCTTCAGCCACTATCAAGCTTCTCTAAACCTATGTAGATGTCTGTCAATTAGTACCACATCACTGCGCCAAGCAAGACTACCTCCTTCACGAAATATTTTATTATAAATTCATTATACATACTGTGAACAATATTCAGTAAGTACATTTTATTGAAAGTTACACGTAAAATAATTGGAAGTAATAAATGTTAAAAATTCAAGTTACAATTACATTAAATTAAATTTTTTTTAAGATTTTAATTTATTAAAGAAAACTATTATTTTTTATTCGTTTTTTACATCAAATATAAAACAAATTATGCAAAAATAATTTATTATTTTGCGAAAGTTTTGATAGCATCCTAAAAATTATATAAGTACGATATTTAATTTAAGTTTTCACGTAATAAATAATTGTCAAATGTGTTTTACGAGAGAGAGAGAGAGAGAGAGAGAGAGAGAGATACGAGAAATTATTATTTTATCAGTAATTTACAGCACTGACTATTAACCAATCGATGATAATGTATAACGTTTTATTCAGTAAAGATTAGCTTCATATGCTGATAACATTGACACGATCGGGCGTATTATAAAAGGTTTTAAATATTTTAAACATTCTCTTAATTTGACAAATATGTAATATATAATGTATGTGAGAAATATAAATAATTTATTTAACATTAATTCTCTTTATACATTGGTAGGATGTAACAATATAACGTCGTGAATAGAAACATGACATTATCGCTAATTGTTTATTTAAGTAGAGGAGACTGGGATCGAAAGTAACATAGGTAAGTTATAACGCTTACATAAAAACAATATAAATAAAATACACAAGCGTAAGGAAGAGATAGATTTGTAATATAAATAATTATGAACTTTTATCTTTTCCCCTTATGCTTTTGTATTTTAATCAAGAATAAAGAATACTCATTAATTGCAAAGCAATGATATAGAATAAACGACCAAATACAAGCAAATTTAAGTGTTAATATGTTTAAAAAAGCGTTTAATAATCTAATGTAAAATTATATACACCAGTTATTCTTGAGATTCGCTAATAATAAGAGACCAAATGAAATAAAGATATATAAAAATTTATTCTCGATGATATTCTTTACAATATTTTTACTAAGAAACTCTTCGTCAAAATTAGACTTTTCCAAAAACATTTACTTAACGTGATTCTCGTCGTTTAACGATGAATTCGTTATCATAGTTTTACTACTTGATGTTTTACTACTCACTTTTTTATTATTGAACATGAAAGATTACGTTCCACAAATCACTATTTCATATAATTTAATAAGATTTTGTTTGTTTGATTGACTACTGGCTTCTTATTGTTAATATTATTGGCAAGTTATCTATGTTTAAGAGGAATTAATACTGATTTGTCTATTATTCGTCGTTATTGTTAAACTAAAAAAGGCTATGTAAGTCGATATGTATGTATACAATCTTATTAGATTAGTAAATGTCTTTTTAAATATATTAACGCCTAAATTTTTTTTTATTTACAATATTATTGCTTTTGTATTTTATTTATAATGTTTATAATGTTTTTTGCAAGTGTTATAACTTACCCGTCACTTTCAACCCGAGTCTCCCGTATATAACGATCAAGATTTTTTAATACACAGTTATTGTCACACACATTGGTTAATTATATATAATAATTATATATAATAATTTCCTTTTTGTATTTCTATTATGAATTTATTAAATCAGTCATCTCATGCTATTATATTGATATAATTATACCTATGTTTTACTGGGCAAGATATCATTATCGCAATCAGATATCATAATTGACAAATCAGTGTTGCAATAGATTGCAATATTTAAACAATATTATGTAAGGGAAAATCGATAGATAAGATTACCAACATTATAAATAAATATTATAAGCAAAAATCAATAGATGAGATAAAAAACACATATGAGTGAAAAATACTATATTAGATCAAGGCGATTTTTTATGTCTATAATAATATTGTTTATGAAATTATATAATTTCCAGTTCAAGCAAACTGTGAGTCGATTATTTGTCGATCTTGAAATGCAGTTCTAAATCAAAGCTGGAGTGTATTACGATGGAAATAAGCATCTTAGAAAACTGTTAATAATTTCATGCTAATAATAAGCATCTTAAAAATTGTAAATAATTATTAACAGCTTTTTACTTAAAATGTTTATTTGCATCAATAACCCTTGAACACCACCGTGGGTTATGGTAACCCAGTCCGTACGAAAAAACGCGTGGCGCTTATGAACGATCAGAAGTGTGGAGTGGGAACAAGGGGGGAAAAAACTTTCGCATCCCTACTACAAATCCCCCGTCTGGCAACCTCAGCGTGTACGAACCAGAATAGAATGCCATGAGCTTATTGTGTGGGTTATGCTAATCCTGTGTGGTTATTACGTTTTTTATTTCGAAATCAAATTGTAAGTAAATATATGAACAAGATTGCGAATTCAAATCGAAGAATTCATGAAACACAGACATTTCAGAAAATCGAGATCCACGCGATATATTAGCTGTAAACAAAATAGAAAAACAAAAATGTTCATTCTGTCCAAGGGCTTTAGATAGGAAAACTTATTACATATGCTTGCAGTGCCAACAGTCAATGTGTAGGGAACATGTTGCAAAAATTTGTTTCGCCTGTTTCACGCAAATCAATGAATAATTTCATTTGTATATTTAGATGTCATATAATAAAAATTTCTACTAACTTTATTATCGTATTACTTGAAAGTCACCCAAATTCAACCTCGTCGAATAAATATATTTTTTAGCATAATTCGTAATAATTTATTTTTTTTCTTAACATACAACTTAATATGTTTCGATTTCTGTAAATTAAAACCTTGTATTATTTTTTTGGAAAATAATTACTTTAAAAAACAACGATTTTTTTTAATTTTGAAATTTCTTTCTTCCTTTTTTTCAAAATATCTTGGTTTTCGGAAGTTTTATGATATTCTTATTTATTTATTCTTTTTCCTTACTGTCTGTTGTATCGATTAAAAAAAAAAGAAGTTAAAATTGATGCATTAGATCCCGAGATAAAAGCAAAAAAAGACTCCAGGGTTACCGTAACCCACGTGTGGTGAGAAATCAGGTGGCGAAAATAGTGTAGTGTTCAAGGGATAATATTAAATTGCTTATCAAAATTAATTTATAATATTACTACTCTAGTTTCGGTTTAGGACTGCGTTTCAAGACCGATAAATAACAATCGGCTTTGCTTAAACTTAAATTGTATAAATTCTCAATATTGTTAGGCACAAAGAGCTGCTTTGACCAAACATGGCATTTTTCACTCGTATGCATTATTTAATATGTTTAATGTAATTTCTATAATGAAACACAATATTAATGACACAGGAAAACCGTATTTAGCGATAATGTGGTATAACGCAGACAGAATTATCTTTGTGTGGCTGTTGTGCGTCCAGTCAATGATAACGGCACATGACCAGGATACTTGCCATCTGCCAAATCATTTAATTCAAGAAATAGACTCTTATGCGCCAATAGTACACAGAATAATTAATGAAAGTATGCAAGGTTCATTCAAAGGAACCACATGGCAAGATTTGGCAACGTTTGTTGACAAGTTTGGCCCGAGATTTACCGGTACTCAAGTTCTTGAAGACGCTATTGATTACGTATTGAACAAATCGATCAGTTTAGGTTTAGATAATGTTCATGGTGAGCCAGCCACCGTACCACGATGGGTCAGGTATAATTCATAAATGCACGTTAAAATTAAATAATTTAAAAATAAAAAACAAACGCGATGATTATGATAATAAATCCAGAGGCTCGGAATCTGCGACTCTTTTGCAACCACGGCAGAAAAATCTGGCGTTACTGGGACTGGGTTATAGTATTGGTACTCCGAAAAAAGGCATAACTGCTAATGCTGTCGTAGTGAATAGTTTCGCAGAACTCAAGAAAAGGGCAGAAGAGGTAAATTTAACGAATAAAAGATCGAGATGCAACACATTTTTGTCCTTAATTATAATAAAGTAACTTTTAAATGTATCAGATTCCGGGAAAAATAGTCGTATACAATCAAAAGTTTGTCTCGTATGGAGAGACTGTGGAATATAGAAGCGTGGGAGCTATAAGAGCTGCAGAATTGGGAGCTGTAGCTGCATTAATCAGATCAGTAACGCCATTTTCATTGTATACCCCGCATACGGGTATGATGAATTACGCAGAAAACGTTACTAAAATCCCAGCTGCTTGTATAACTGTCGAAGATGCAACTCTTCTGGGAAGGATGGCAGATCGAGGTAAAAAAAAAAACACTTCTTGAGATCTTCGCTAGATAGATAACTGATGGTATTATGTTTATTTAGGTGAAACGATAATAATAAACTTAAAAATGGAAGCGAAGAGATATCCCGATACTCAATCTCGAAACGTTATAGCGGATATCATCGGCTCTAGCGTGCCTGCAAAAGCAGTTGTCGTTTCTGGACATATAGATAGTTGGGATGTTGGAATAGGCGCAATGGATGATGGAGGTGGCATTTTCATATCTTGGAACGCATTAAAATTGTTGAAACATCTCGGCATCCGGGCGCGAAGAACGATAAGGTTCATAATATTTCGAAATATTTAATTTAACTGATTATTGATATAAGATTAAGTATGTATACTCTGTAAAGCGTTTTGTTATATAGCAAATTATTTATATTATATTTAGAATTTACAATTTACAATTTATATTATATATGATATTATACATATATAGAATGATAATGTGGACTGCCGAGGAATTTGGTCTTCTCGGAGCGGAGCAGTATATACGGAATCACGCTGCAGAGAATGGAAATTTGCAGTTCGTGATGGAATCTGATTCTGGCACTTTCACGCCTACAGGTCTCGAAGTTTCAGGAAACAAGATGACCCAATGTATACTTCAGAGAATAATGCGGTTAGTTCCTTTATAGATTTTTTATATTTTATTTTCGTTTTTGATTTATTATTACAATTATAAAATATTAATTTTTTATTTGTTATTCATATTTTTAAGAAATTTTTATGTTTAAAAAACGTTTATTGCTTTTATAACATAATTTTTGTATTTAAATTTAATTAAATATTTGTTTATATTTATTTTATAATAATTTTTATTATTTAAAATAATCATACTCTTTTATGTTTCTAGATTGTTAACTCCGTTAGGTGACATGAAATTAAAGAGCCCATGCACAGGCCCTGATATATCGTTTTGGATTAAAGCTGGCGTACCAGGTGGTGCTCTTTTGAATCGAAACGAAAAATATTTCTATTATCACCATACAAACGCGGATACCATGTTGGCAGAAAATCCAAAAGCTCTGGATATGAATACAGCTCTATTCGCAGCGGTATCATTTGTTCTAGCAGATATCAGCGTTGATCTGCCTCAACACAATTTCACTAGCGTATTATAAAAATCAATTTGATATATGTATGTGTACGCAATGATGAATGCACGGAATTCTGTATCTAGATTGTCGACTTCATCGCCATATTTGAGGATAGCATGGCGGTGAATCTCAAATGCACTCTCATACATAAATACAATCCAATCCAATGGCACGACATCCCAAAGTCGGGACAAGGTCTACTTCTCATACGTATGCCTGTGGCGTGCACACAGGTTGTACACAGAGACATACGGGATCTACAATTTAATGCCGGTTCCAAACGGCAATTTTTGAGAGATTTTCTTGACAATAGATACTCTTGGTGGTTTGCCAGACCACCGAAGAGGAACTACGAGCGCGTGAAAAATTCTTTGAATCTGCCTGAGATCGAACCTGAGATCTCTGGTATAGCAGTTTCGTGTGCTACCTACTACGCCACGCTCGTGCTCATTCATAAATCACATAGACAATATCGCGGACAATATTGGGTAATTTTCATTTGATGGCATAATTAATACAGTTAAATATCGTTCTATTTTTGTTACTTACTGAATGTCAAGAAAGATGGAATCGTGATGGAAAGCAACTCAGGTGTGCTCCAAATATATTTTTAACAGTTAATGAGAACGCGACACCATATGCCACCAGAACCGTACGAAATTCGTCTCGAGAATAAGTCACCTGATCAATTTCTTCCGCATCATATATGGAATGCTTGTGTTGACTTATGTCGATCCAAATGAAAACCACCCATCACAGACAATATCACATGATAATGATATATTCACAGACAGGACGCATACATGTGTATACATGAAATTAAAACAAGAAATATGATGTTAAATTTCGAGCTGTTCTTTTCTTTCTATCATATGTTATGTCTTTCTATTGTATTTTTGATTTATTTCTATTACATGACAGTCAGCAGTTTAGGTTTAAATATAGAAATCTGTGGATGTGGAAATGTAAATCACTGAAATTATGTATTCATAGAGTGTTTTATTTCAAATATGCCTGTACAATCACAGCATATAAACGATTAGGCCTACGATAATGCCTAGACTAAACTCTTTAAAAGCATCGAAATGCAAATGTGATCAAACGAGCTAGATTTTATGAATCGCTTTCTATTTGATCTCTTTGCTTGCTTAACAATCTTATTAAAAGATTTTTCAAAGACTATTCAAAATATACTATATCGTGGCTATCTTGCAAAAATACTAAAATTAACAGAATACATATGTTCCACAAAATCCAATTATTGAGATATATAGCTTCACTTCCCCGATTTGCAAAAAAGCAAATAAATTGTATTAAAATATAAAAACATTTTTATGCTAAATTATAATGGAATACATAAGTTTTCATTAGTCACGAAAGATTTAAGAATGAAATAAATTAAATGATCTTATAATCTCTCACATATTATTCTCGATATTTAAATACTAGTTTGAATTATCAATTATCTTAAAATTTTTGTTTCTGGTTGTATGAAATTATCAGTCTCAATCAAGTATCAATGAATTTTGTGATTTATATTAATGTATCTTCGTCCTGATTTGGAAAGACCATCAATAAAGAATGCTGAGAAGTCGTTCTCTGACTTGAAGTTAATAGAGCGGTTTTCTCACCTCCGCTACCATTCATCGAGCAATCTGGAGAACTGCCATCGAAAGCTATGTAATTGGTGGTCGTGCTACTCGTAGATGGCATGTCATTTAGATCCGGTGAGGCCAAAGGCGGAGCTTGGCCTGGACGAGTATTAGTACCGTCCAATGATACGATCTGCATACTATATGACTCACGATATCCAGATGTACTAGATGTGTCTTCGTCCCAAGACACATCTGACACCTGAGGATGCACGTGGTGATGAAAGTAGTGACAATGATGGTGCTGATACGCCGCTCCATGGAAAGGCTGCTGATCTGCAGGCACGTTGGAGTTTTTGTCTCCGTCCGATTTGCGAATAGACTGACTTCGTCTGGAACGAATGGATGAGGAATTAGATGGAATGTTAGATGATAGCGGCGGATCCACTGCTGATGATGTCTGTTCTGTCGCTTTCGGTTGACTCGTTGGTTGTTCTATGAGGGCTGCATCCAACTGTTCCAACTTTGTCTGCGTCGTCTGAAAGATAATATTCTATGTCAGTAAAGTAGAATTTAATGTACTAAATAATCAATTAAATTATAATCAAAAGTAAAAATACGGTGATAATGAAAACTATCGAGAAGCTGTATGGGGAAAACTAAAAAATTCTATAATTCAATAATGATTGGAAACTTGAGACCGGGAACACTGAAAAAAACTTATGTAAATGTTATCACCTCAATGTGACTCTTTCGACTTTTTCTTAAGCGGAAGGTCTTCTTGCTTTGGCCCATAGAACGTTGTAAGCGAGGCTTGTCGGTACGTAATTCTCCGGAACTGTCTTCGGTCGGACTGCTTGGACTTAGCCGGCCCGTCACCGTCTCTCCTGGCGGGACAGTCGACGATCACACATGTCGCGTCTACCGTCTTATTCACGAATTCTACTCTACGATTCATCTACTCATGCTCCTTTTTCGAAGTGTATGATTCAAGATTGTTTTTGAAGTGCGTAGGAAATATTTTACAACCGCGTTCCGTGCTTGATGTAACGTGGCACTATGTACATCTCTAGTACAAAGTAAATTTTTTTAGGATTATAAATATATTCTATTTTATCGTTTTTTAATACATTCTTAGACGTGTGACTCTCGACAGAGATTAGACATTACATAGAAAATTAGGGGTGTATTCTTTATGGAATCGAGTGACATTTAGATCGATCGTTAATTCTGAAACAAAATATTTCAACTTTGATATTTAGAGAGAATGTGCCTCAATTTGAGAAATTGAAATGTTTCCATGCCCATAAAAACACGGATGAATATAAAAAGATCAGACATTGATTAGAAATGATTACTGTACAGAGAATGTTTTATATAGATTGACATATAATGATGGAGAGATTTTATTATACGTGTAGAATACGGTATTGCATGTAAGTTGCATGTTAAAAATCAGAATTAATATTTTTATAGAAAATGTTACAGTGTCTGTTATATGCATGCAAGATTGTATTTGCGAAACAAATTATTTTAATTCCGCTTCGGAAGTGACAACGTGAAAATACTGTGATATGCACATATTACATGTCTGTGCATCAGATACCAGAGGGAAAGATGTTTATGTCAGAGTTACATAACAAACTTCTTGCAAATTGATAGAGTTAATTAAATATAAAAAAGAAATGGAACAAAGTAGTCATTACATTATGTGTTAAACATAATATTTGAATGGTTCTATTCTTAAATTATTCTATTCATTCCAGAAATATAAGTTCTATTTTTTGGCAAAAATGTTAATGATGTAAATAATAGCAATACTGTTTTGGTTAATTGAATAAAACCTAGTGCAATACATAATTAGCTTTCGTCTTACTTTAATAAACTAATTAAAAGCGTAACTTATACAGTTTAATTAAAACTTTATCTGGAGACACGGTAGTGTTTCGGCACTAAGACATGGCATGAGACACTGACGTGCCTCAAATTTACGTTATGGGTTTTACTTCATGCAAAAGCTTAACTAAATCTGCAAAATCTAAACTACGAATTTATTTCTATTTAATGTAATTTCTAAGTAATTTCTCAAGTTTAATGTATTGATAAAAAATGATATTATATATGAAAATGATATATATAAAAATGATATTGTATATAATGATGTTATATATATACAAAATGAATAACCAAAATGCAACTAAAATAGATGTAACAAACAGAAGAAATATTTTCTACAATCTTGCATTTTTCTTGGAATTTTGTTTAAAGCTGTTTGTTTAATAAGAACGCGGTAATGTCATGTTATTAATGAAAAGTGGCTTATATTTGTGTGACATGTCGGTATTACTGCAGACGAATTAATAAAATTGTAATTCCAAGTTATATTTTTAATATAATGTATTTTTAAAGTCAAATTTTTGATCGATTAATTTGATCAAAGCTTTTAATTTTTGAGAATGAAGACTAAAGAAAAGTTTAGTCTTCTAGAATAAATCTCTGTAAATTTCTTCAATTCATTAATTTTTGCAGTAATATTCAGATATTGTATCAAGTTGGAAGAAGGAGATGAAGTCTTTCAAGGGACATGTTAATAAATATGTATATCGTGTATAAGCTAAAGCGGGGACAGGGATTTACCTGATGAGTTTCTAAACTCTACGGAAGAGACAAAGCGCAGCTTTGGCGCCTTTTGGTGAGGTAAGATAGAATGAAGCTTAACATGGTTACGTTCATCGCTAGTAGAAGATGATTGGAATCTATCTGAAACATGCCACATCGAACGTCTAATATGAGGGGAGGGATAACAAGTAAGACAGACCACGATATAGTAGTCATCGTTGATACGTTGTTCACGATCGTACATCGTGTCAATGTTGCACACTTCGAACCTGAGTCTTGGGAATATTGGTTAAGTGTAATTGATGCGATAAAGTGTAATGCCTTAAATGATTTTGCTGAAAATAAAGTCACCTGAATTTATAGCTTATGAGCGATTCATGAAATTTCATATAAAATTTTATGTTTCTCGATGCATTTTAAAATTATATGAGTAATAAAATGATATTGTATTTATATCCTGATCTCATAATCTTATAATCACGATTTTACTTGATAAAAATGGTAGATGGTGACGTAATGAGCATTCCAATTAGACAAAATATTATAATATTAACATACGCGTGACTAGTTACATAAATTGCTGTAACCTATACGATGTTGCTTCGATTAGAAAAAGTATATTAATCGATACTCTGTATTATAAGTGCCAGAGCAAGCAATAATAATGTATTTCAAAATGAAAGATTTTCATGATATCTGAAGAATTTATTCAAATCAATTGAATGTGTTCTTTGGACTAAGAAAACTGCTGGAATTGAGTGTGTCAATATGGAATTGTCGATACCGATAGATGTTGCCGTCGTGTTAATTAACTGCGAAAACAATTAATGACAGTTAGTAGTTTCGTGCTGTCGAGTAAAGGAAGAAAGCGACAGAACATCGAAGCAACTACGTAATAGAGAGTGACTACTCAACGATTAGTAGGGTACCAACTGTTGGACATTACCATTGTCTAAATACTGCTATGTAATAAGTTCCTTATGAGTTTGCGTATAAAACGTGATGACAGGAGACGATAATAGAATACCAGTGTTCTAAAAGAAAATACTGTGAAACAAGATTGCGTATTCTACAATTTTTATAAAGAACTTTTTATATTATTATACAATAATATTTTTATACAATTTTACTGATCTGATCTTTAATTTCTGTCATATTTTAATTACATTATAATTTGTTTAAATCACTATTTAATCTCGTTTCACGGTAAAAATGGATTAAGGAGGCAACAAGAAGTGGACGAAGACCGAGGGCGACGCAAGAAACAGGACGAGCGATCGATATGATCAAAATTACAAAAAAGTGTTAAGCGTGAGAGGGGCACACACCAGCAGGATATATATTATAGATCGTGTTAGAATTGATTGAGTTGTAGAATCGGTCCGCTTACCTCCGTTCCCTAGCTAGCAATGGAAGTAACGTAATGATCAATGTGTCAATAATACGACCAGAGAGAGAGAGAGAGAGAAAGAGAGAAAGAGAGAAAGTGAGAGAGAGAGAGAGAGAGAGAGAGAGAGAGAGGCGTAAACAACTTATTCCTTAAAACGACGCCTTAAATGATATACGACTAATTGAGAAATCTTTTCTCGATGATGTAGACGGCATTGCTATCATCCGAGACG